CTTCTGTCCTCTCAATGTGTCCAAAGGGATACAGTTTTCCATTCATCATACAGCCTGTATGAGACAGCAGCAAAACAGAACATGTTCTTCAAGCCTCCACCCAAAGGCTGGAGAGTTTAAAATTTATTTCAGCTCTTCTGAAAATGCTATTCCGGGCAAGAGTAAAGTGCAAGGATTTGGGTTCTATTCTCTCGACTCCTGAATGAGCTCCATGTGCTGCAACAGCAATAGCAACCCACCACCAATTGCAATAACATTGCTGCAACCATACACAGCCACTGGGAAGATTTTGTTTTCTCTTACTTTCAGCAACTTGCTGCTGGAGCCCCCTATTTGTGTGTTGGCAATGTCTTCCCCCTCCCTTGTATTTGAGCCCTTCCTGGCAGCTCCACATAGAGCCAAGTTATAAAATAGCCATCAGGTCAGAGAACCTTCCTTATTTCTACCTTTGTAGGGCCATCCTGGCTTTCTGAATTCTAACATGCAGCTTGCATCACCCAGGGTCACTATGCTGCCCATTGCAACAAAAAGAACCAGAATGCTCTTCTGTAGAAAGAAAGCAGAAAATTGTAATTTCTCCACTGTTTATAAATAGACATGTATTATAGAAACTACTGCCTGCTCTGTAGAACCTCTGCCATTCCTGAGATGCTCACCAAAGTTCTTCTTGATGTCTGTACCTTTGGAATTAAGTGAGCACTAATTACAGGAAAACTAGGCCACAGGTCAGTCTATTTATCATTACCTAACTATTGATTCTCGTTCTGCAAACACCTTTAGAGGCTTAAAGACATGGAACAGGACATAATTTGAGGGATCAAAAGTGATGAAAAAATACACGGACAAAACATGTATTTATTTTTTGTGTAAATGACTATTTTTTAAACTGTATTTGACATTTGTAAGTTTTAAAAGCATAGTCCTCAATGGTTCAAAATTCTTCTTTCAAGAATGTTTCTTTTTACAAACATTTCAGAGGAAAGGATAATAACCAGTGAAAGACTAAGAGATAGCTATTAGATCTTCTTGCAAAGAATTACAATACAAAGAACATAATTCACAGTAATCTTCACAGAGGTGTCTGCCTGTCGTTGCATCTTACAGGTTTGAATGATAATATAGCCACATTGAAAATGTGTCACTAGATGATTCTCTCAAATGCTCTCCTTTTGCTCTTTTAAAGCCAAATACCTGTCTGTATCCCCATTACAAAAAACCCCAGACCAATCAAAACCTTTGACTTACCATTGTGGAAAGCTTGCCTTCCAAAGCGATCTAAGTTTCCAGAGAAAGCTGAGTTTCTTTATGTGGAAGCAGAGAGCAAATATTTTATGATGCCTTTATGTTGTGCAATTCAAGTCTAGCTGGAGGGAAAAAAGCCTGCTCAATACACATGCAGTTATTTTGTAATACCCAAAGAAATCTGAAATTTTTCCAGTTGGTAACAGGAAAATGTTTGGTTTTGTAGAGCACTGGCCTGGGTAAATGACTGAGTCTAGAACCTGATGCTTCCAAGGAATATGATGATGTGAAAAAATGCCTTTCTGATGGGATACAAGTATTGATAGCTAAGCTATCCATACACTATTATCCAGCTGGGTGGTTTTCAGGTGGGACAGAAATGCATGCCAAATCCTTTCTGCTATCAGAGGGCTGGAACATGCTGTGAGTAGTGCATTAGGTATTAATAGCAAATGGAGCTTTTGCCAGATCTTTACATACTCCTGGTTAGTGCTGTGGTGTGCACTGGAAGATACCAAAGGAACTTGGCCCCTACCAGGATCAAAACCTCCTAACACTGAGACCTTAGCTGAAGCTGGATCCCATTACAACATCCCTCTTTCTCCTCCACCACAATAAAAAATTCCTCTCAAATAAAAAGCCTTGCTCTTACTCCTGTGGAACTGTTTTGATTTTGACCTGAATAATCCTAGTACAGTATATTTTTAAATGTGCACTTTCCCAAGAAGTGATAAATTTCTGAGTGCTAATCAAGTACTCTGCTTTCTCCTGCTCCTACCACCTCTCTTCAGAACACAATATCCACTTGCGGCCCTACCTACATCTAAAATACTTTGTTGCAGATGCTACCAAGCAATTTGAAACTCATTTCTGGGGTAGATTTATAATCCACTACAGGAAATTTAGCTTATGGTAAATGCTCTATGCTCCTCTGGAGATTTCAGGCTGCTGTGCTGGTCCAGTGACAGCACATGTACTTATTTCTAGCTATAGATACTCCTTTCTACAAGGTGCACCAGAGTCTGGAGCATCTTCAAGCCCTGACATTGCCTGTCACCCCCGAGACTTTCTGCAGCCTGGGGATAATGCAGGTTCTGGGATTACATCTCAGAGGCTGAGGAATTCTGGAAACTGCAGAGCTTGAAGAGTCACATCTCTCTGCCTCTACACCAGGACATACAGCACTACTGAGCACGAGAGCAAGGAGTGGCTGGGGAAATGAAGAACAATGTACAAATTGTATTGGAGTTCTTTTCCACGGGATGAAGAAGCTTAACTTTTAATTGTAATTTGACTTTTTTTATGTTTGCATCCTGTTCTAAGGTTATAAAAACATGTTTGCTTTCTGTTAGCTATGAGGAAAGCTGGCTGTGGTATTCTCTTTACCTTGTAAATATTTGTGAGTTTAACCAAGTGCTAAGGCATGGCTTTAAGCACCCTATATGGTCTTACATGTTCTGTTTCTTAATCTGCAGATTAGTCCCTGATTATATATGTGATTTTTGATATCTTCATGTCACACAATCATTTAGAGAGTTCTGAGGGGAACAGCAAGTGATTTTTCTTGCTGCCGTCTTTTCTTTAAACTTTAAATGGAACCTGTCTAAATTTCTCTTTAAAAGGAATTTTAGGATCAAATGCTTTTTGTAACCTTGTCTGTAATGTTTAGGACAGGACTTCTAGAAAGCAGATTTTTGTTGTGCCATTCATAGTCCTCTTGGCTCAGAGACTGGTGTATCACAAACAAACAGCTTTCCCTAAGGAACCATTCAGGTTCTATGTAGCTGTCATGCTGGGTTTTTTATGGAAACTGATCTGTAAGACCCCCAGGCCTGAAGCTGCCCAATGCTAAGACCCTACATTTTGCAGCATCAGTGGACAAAGAGCACATAGATCTCATGTTTTATAATGCAAAAATTTCTGTGAAAGTAGAGCTTTGCATTATCAACAATGGAGACTCATATGTCAGTGAATATGGAAAGTAACTAAAGGCAAGCTTTTCTGGATGTTGGAATATTGTGGAGGAAGAAACTACGGCAAAATATTAAAAGGTTTTGAGAATAATTTTATATTAAACCCATCTGTGATTTTTAATAATCTTGCTAAAGACGTTGTGAAATTAGCCTAGGCTAGTATTTTTCTACTTGTCCTTTATTAGTTCCTGCTTTATTATCAATATATTACAATTCTTTAAATTCAACTAGGTTTGAAAGTCTGAGCCAGTTCAGTAATGGTGTCTTGTCATAGAATCACAGAAAAATAAAGTTGAAGGGAATATTATTGTTATAAATGAGAGACAAAAGTCTCGATATTCAGCGCAATTTAGATTGTTTTATTTGATATAGAAAGAGCAAGCAGCACACTGGGGAACGTGAGGGGTCACTGCCCACACCACGCTCCACTGAACCTTGGTTTGCAGCCTCTTCTTAAACTGTGGTTTCTCGTTGTAATAAATAATTTTTGGGGTTTCTTTGTTGTCATAAGCAGTGGTGGTTGAATAAACATCCTTGTAGATAACCACCAGAGAAGTTCTGGAAGCCTGGTCCTTGAGTTAAGCAGTATTGATCAGACAAAGGCAGGAAGGGCTATTGGGAAGTCTGATTTTGCAAGCTGGTAGCTGATATAACTTATTTGGAAAACATAACATAATATAACATAATATAACGGAACATAAAATAACATAATATACCATAACAAGGTGATTTTAAACAGAATTTTTTTTTATCATATAATTTCCTTTATCTAGTGTCTATGCTTCACTTCAGAGCTTAGTATTCTGGTTTACATAGACCCCAATGCTTTTGTGATTAACACGAATCTTTTATCAATTATCACATTATGATATTTTGCTTTTAGAAGTTTCTGTGTCCCTTATTTAACAAAGTATTTCCAGTATCTGAATGTAGCCATTAGATCAATATATAAGAACTTGGAGATCTTGCATGTTTTTTTCTTATTTGAGAACACCAGTAAGATCAATCAGTGCTCTGGTTCCTCATGAGTGGTATCAATGTAGTCAAGTGCAATAAATAAATAAACTCCATGTGCTAATATAAAGGTCTGATTATTGCCAATGGATTATTTAGTTACCGTCTGGAAGAACAGGTTATTTTATTGTCATTTCCTTTCTCATTAATTCACTTGTAATAAAGACCATATGAAATACGGTGGTATGACAAGGCTTTTTAATCCATTGGAAAAAAATTAGCAAGAAAAGTGGAAGTTAGTGGGGTGTTTAACCTCAAAAGGCCTCGGGATAACTGAATTCCAGTTTGGCGATTTGCACTGTATATTTGTTCATGTTAGTGTGTTTTCTTCTAGCAAATCCTGGAATTCTGGCATGCGTTTATTAAGGCTCAGGCATTTCAAAACTAAGTTGATTTTACTTGGCTTAGGCTAAGCCTTGCACTTACATTGGTAAGAAAAACAGGAGGAAGGGGTCCCTTTTTACTCGTAAGCCTGGGCATCAGCAGACCCCAGTGCAGCGCTCCAGTGGGGAATGATGTGCGCAGACCCTCCTGCTACACTCCACTGTGCTGCCCGCACGTGTCCCTTACATGTCCCCATGTCCCCTCCTCAGGGATGGTGGTCATACCCTGGGCACAGCTGCGGCGGCCGGAGCCACCTCCCACCGGGCTCCCCTTCCCGCGGGACGCGGCGAGGGTGGGACGGGATGGAACGGGACGGGATGGGAGGAGATGCGATGGGATGGGAGGGGATGGGAGGGGATGCGATGGGATGGGAGGGGATGCGATGGGATGGGA